CACACACACACACACACACACACACACACACACACACACACACACACGATTTTTAAAGTAAATAAAAAGAAGCAGATTCATTGGGCACCTTGTTAGGTAGCTCAAGCTGTCTTTAACTTGACTCTTCCTCTCCAGTGCTGAGGTTTACAGTGGGGTAATGTGTGCCCTGCACACATTCACTTTGGGAAAAGGATGGTCGAATCTCAGTACAAATTGAATTTTTGTATTCAGTTTGTGAACACAAATTGAAAAACAAAACAAAACAAAACAAACCCATGTAACCAGTCCCATGTGATGAAAGAGAGCATGGCCAGCCTCTAAAAATATCCCTCTTTCTAGTTTCTCCGCCTGGTGTTGTATGCCATGTGTTTTGGGGCTCTAGGTTTTGCTCATGCCCTGCTCATAGTTGGCATATAAATGCTGATGTCGTTTCTGTTCCTCGAAACAATTAGTGAAAACCACACTGGTTAAACAGAAGAGAGGGTGTATTTGGAGCGTGTGGTCTGAAGAGGACATACCTCCCTGCAGCTTGGGTCCCTCTGGCCCACCACCTTCTAGGTTCCGGTCATTTGGGACATAACTTACTTTTATGTGTACTTGAAAATCCCCTGTGAAGGTCATGATTTTTCCTGGTTGTTCTGTTTGCCAGATTGGAAGTTGAAAACTTGAGCTGTGGGTGATGGGTGAGAGGAGGGTGAGTTTCTTTCTCCCCGTCCCCTGTGGTGGTGTTTGTGAGACATACTCATACGAAGTCCAGGCTGGTCTCCAGCATTGTCATCTAGCTGGAGATGATCTTGAATGTCAGCCTCCCCCTCCCCAGTACTGGGGTATTGGGCATGTGCCATTGCCCAGCTCTCTGGGTTGAGAGAATTTCTTACAGGTGTCTTTTCTTTCTGCTTTAGGTAAAATGTCGGCTCCAGGACCTTACCAAGCAGCTGCAGGCCCTTCTTCAATCCCCTCCGCACCCCCAACCTATGAAGAGACAGTAGGTGGCGGCAGTTACTACCCCACCCCCCCAGCACCTGTGCCGGGACCAGCCACAGGGCTCATCACAGGCCCAGATGGGAAGGGCATGAATCCACCTTCGTACTACACCCAACCTGTGCCTGTTCCCAACGCCAATGCAAGTATGTCACCCAGGTCCTCCTTGCAGCTCCTCATTCACCAAGCCTGTGGACACCAGGAGGTAGAGGACAGCAGCAAGGTGCAAAAGTGTCAAAGCCAAATGACAAGCACTGTGATGTCCACCCCACCCTAGTTTCCCATAGGATATTTCAGACATACCACTGTTGAGGCCTGTAATTTCCCTATTATAAGGCACATTTAGTGGCCAGCAGGATGGTTCAGTGGGTAAAGACGCTTGCTGCTAAGCCTGACTACCTGAGTTTGCTCCCCAGGACTTGAATATACACACAAGCACAAACATTAAAAACGTAATCAAAATAAACTACAACAAAAACCACAGCAAAATATTTTTAGAATCCTCCCCATGCCCTCTGCTCTTGACACCACCCCTGCCCTAGAGAACTTGGGAGTTGGTGAGTTCAGAGCCAAGAGTGGCTAGCACTCCCGTCCTGAGGCCAGCTGCGGTGGGAACAGGAACAAGAAGCAGAAACAGCGCTGAGTGAGAAAAGGGATGCAAAGTTCCTGCCCTTCTAGGCGAGCAGAGCCTTGCCTGGACTCTGGGAGGGCGTCTCTGTAGTCCTTGTCCTCAGTGGCCAGGTGTAGAAATGTGCACTACTCAACATCAAAAGCTGCTGAGGACTATCTGAGAGAGCAAGCTTGTGACTCAGACCTGCAGAGCCTGCCTACCCTGCCCTTCTATTATTGTTGTTGTTATTGTTGTGTGTGTGTGTGTGTGTGTGTGTACCTGTACCTGTGGAGGCCAGAAGTCAACCATAGACCCGTAAAAAATATGTATGTATGTATGCATGTATGTATTTATATAAAATGTGTGTGTGTTGATCATACCCATTGTAGGACAGCTGAATATATATATATATTCCTGATCATATGCACATCCATCCCCCTCCACCTCCCTTTGCTTTCCCCTATCTGGCTCCTTGCCAGCTCAGCTTCAAGTCCTTCCTCTTAAAGTACAGCTCAGTGGTGTTAGGTAGACACACACCGTCATCCCACTCTTTAGTGTCTGACCTTGCCCTCTTCCTCCCCACCCCCAGCCTACAGGCACTGACTCTAGTGGGCCCCTGAAGGCATATCTGGAGTCTCCCAGTGCTTGTACTTTTGTGACTGGCTTATTTCACTCAGCACAGTGTCTGCCTGTGTCAGAATCTCCTTCCCTTTAAGGCTGAGATGATAGTCATCCTTTCATCCTTGGGATCCACCGGGTGATGCATGCTTTTGGGATGGCAGGAATGACAGCGGTATGAGCTTGGGCTCTGGGGTAAGTGCTGAGCCTCAGCTCTTGTCAGGCACGAATTCTTCCTGGTTCACTGAGCAGCCCGTGTCGTCTTCTCCCGTCAGTTGCCGTGCAGACGGTGTATGTGCAGCAGCCTGTCTCCTTTTATGACCGCCCTGTCCAGATGTGCTGTCCCTCCTGCAGCAAGATGATCGTGACCCAGCTGTCCTACAATGCCGGCGCCCTCACCTGGCTCTCCTGTGGCAGTCTGTGTCTGCTGGGGTGAGTGTGCTGCCCCTTGGCCTCTGGAGGGTCCCCACTGTGGGGTGGTTGCTACTCAGACTGAGGACTTAGCTGTGGTAGGGGCTGTGCTGTGCATTGTAGGACTGTGTGAAAGTGTGTGCGCATGTGTGCACGACTGGACGCCAAGGCCTCCTGTTTGTCTTGCCTGTCGAGACAAGGTCTCCCACTGCTCCTAGACCTGCTGAGTAGGTTATCCTGGCTGAAGAGTGAGCCTCAGAGACCCCTCAGCCTCTCACTCCCCAGGGTGGGGGAGTCCCATCATGTCTGGTTCCTTGATACTTCCCAGGTAATTTTAAAATTTACTTTTCTTTCTTTCTTTCTTTCTTTCTTTCTTTCTTTCTTTCTTTCTTTCTTTCTTTCTTTCTCTTTCTCTCTCTTTCTCTTTTCTTTTCTTTTTTTTTTTGTGTGTGTACATGGACATATGCCATGGTGCACATGTTGAGGTCAGAGGGTTTTCAGTGGTCCGTTCCTTCCTTCTACCGTGTGGATCAGGGAATTGAACTCAGGTCCTCAGGCTTGCACTGCAAATTCTTGTCTGACTGAGCTCTCTCCAGATACCTGCAGGAATTTTCCTTTTTTTTTTTTTTTTTTTTTTTTTTTTTTTTAGTTTTGGGGTTGGAACTCAGGATCTCAGCATGCTAGGCTAGCACCCTGTCTCTGTACCCTCACCCTGCTTGAGGATGTTGAAAGCTGAGTATGGCAGCATATCCCTGTAATTCCAACACCAACAGAAGGTGAAGACAGCCGGAATGAAAGGGCAGCCAGGCTTGCAGACTAAGACCCTGTCCCAATAAGACACATATCAGGGCTGGTACGATGGCTCAGCAGGTAAGGGTGCCTACCACCAAGCCTCCCAAGCTGAGTTTGATCCCAGAGCCCACGCAGTGGAAGGGACCCAACTCCTGGAAGCTGCCCTCTGGCTTCCACATGTGCATATGTACATGGGTGTTCACACATACACAGTGGATGGGTGGATAGATGATGGGTGGGGGGTGGGGGGTGGATGGATGTAAAAGCTAAAATGAGAGCGGAGCAGCACACCCAGTCTCTGCTTTCCAGGTATCTGTAGCGCCCCTCCCCACAGGACAACCACCAAAAACTTCTCTTGGGGCTGCAGAGGCCCCAAGTGGGCTCTGCTCTTAACAGGGAAATCACTGGCTGTGTAATGTAGGACCCACAGCAGCTGGTCACATCTGCAGAGGGCGGGACCCGCTGGCTTCTTTTCCTTCTAGAATTTCATGACCTAAATTATAAACTGCTTGTGTGTGAGAAAAGCTTTAAACATTCTGTACATTTATACACACTTCGAGGGCCTCTCCTCAGGCGTGCGTCTTCTTTACAACGTCTGCTATTTTCCCATCGCCAGTGCAGGAGGCTTACATAAATATTTATGTCTGCACTGAAAGAGATGCTAGTCTGTTCTGGGAGAGAAATCCAAGCAAAAGCAATACATCTTTTCCCAAAGCAGGTAGCAGTGGGAGCCCCACCCCTTTCTGGCCTCTGAGCCACATAGCTACATTGGCTTGCTTTTTTCCAGAGATTGAGGACCTCTGCCGTTGGGTGCCTAGCCCACATCTCCTCACTGTCTGCTGGAGACTAGGTGGAGAAGGAAAGGGCATGTCTCTATTCTGTGGGGAAGAAGTGGCTATGTAAGCCTGTGGGCCCATCTTTCTCTGTCCTGCCTGTGCAGCATCCACTCTCTGGGCAGAAAAGACTTAGTTCACCGCTAACCAGGTCTGCCATCCCAGCACTTAGGGTGAGGCAGGAGGATCACAAGCCCAGGGCCTGCATGGGCAACTGAGGCAGTGTTCACAGAGTAAAAAGAAAGCTGTGCATAGTGGTACACATCTGCACTTCCAGCATGCCTGAGGCTGAGGCAGGAAAATCAGTAGTTTAAGGCCAGCCTCTGCTACATAGTGGGTTTAGGGCTAGCCTGGGCTACCCCTAAACAAAACAAAAGTAAAATGATGACCGGGGATAGAACAGAGTGCATTGTTGTGGGAGGCTTGCCTAGCATGTGTAAGGCCTTGTTTCCATCCTTAGTACCACAAGTTGCTTCTGGGCCTGATGGTGTATATCTGTCTTCCTAGCTGTGGAAGACAGACAGGAGGATGTAAGTTCAAGGCCAACTTGGGCTATATAGTAAGACTCCTATCTCATCAAAATGAAAGCAGCTTGCTGTGGTGGTTCAGGCAGGCAGATTTTTATGAGTTTGAGGCCATATGGAGTTCCAGGCCAGCCAGGGCTACCTAGTGAGATCCTGTCTCAAAAACAAAGGGAGAAGGACTCTCACTGCTTTGGGACATTTGCATTAAAACTACCTTTTGTCTTTGAAACTGGGGTTCAATAGCACAAGATCGGCTCTTGTGAGCAAACTTCTAAAGTTGGGCTGGCTTTCTGCCCTTTTGGGAGGGGCAGGGGAAGTTGAGACAGGGTTTCTGTAGCTCTCTGACTGTCCTTGAACTCAGAGATCTGCCTCCTCTGTCTCCCAAGTGCTGGAATTAAAGGTGTACACCACCTCTATCCCCACTCTTTCTGCCTCTTTTATTTCTCAGCTTTTAAAGTTTTTTTTGAGACTCGCTATGGATCCTGTGTTTGAGTACCCACATATATGTCTCCTAGGGGTGTGGTGAGAATGAGGTCCGAGTGTCTGCAGTTACAGGGACCTCACAGGTGAGAGAAGAGAGCAGCGAGAGTGCTGGAGTCTTTGTGACTGACTTGTTCTCACCGTGGGTCCAAGGCTGTAGGAAGCCCTTTCCATGTGCAGAAGGTGACAGACTGCTAAGAGACGTCATCTGGGGAAGTTGACTTCCTGGCCACTAGAACCCTGAAGACAGCTTTGCACCAGGCTAAGCCCAGCCATCTACCTGTGTCAGTTTGACTGGATCCTGCCAGCTCTTTTGTTGGATCTTTTCATGTTCATGCTGCTAGGCAGGACTGAGCAGGCAAAACACAGGCTCTGGCCATCTGACATGTCTAACGTGGACTGGGTGACCTTTTTTGATTGTTTGCTTATTTGTTTGTTTGCTTATTTGTTTGTTTTTATGTTTTTGTTTGTTTGTTTTTGTTTTTGTTTTTTGAGACAGCATTTCTTTTGTGTAGCTGTAGCTCTCTGTGGTTTTTACAGACCACTTTGTCGATCCTCATTTAAGATAATGATGGCTATTCCTCCTCTTCTTCCTTCCCTTCCTTTTATATAGGGTCTAATGTAGCTCAGGCCGACCTTGAAGTCACAGTGTACCGAAGGATGTCCTTAAACTGATCCTCCTGCCTCTACCTGTCTAGAGCTGGGATTACAGCCCTACTCCACGATGCCTGATTTTATGTGGTGCTGGGCATGGAACCCAGGGTTTCGTACTGTGGTCCCAGAGTGCTCCTCCTACATTTTGACTTTTTATTTCCCCTCTTATGCCAGGGACAGAGCCCAGCTGTCTCACATGCTAGGGAAGTGCTGAACCCCTGAGTTACATCTTGAGTGCTGGTGTTTTGCTGCTTTTTGAGTTTAACTATGTAGCCCAGGCTGGCTTTGCGTTCAAAATCCTCCTGCGTCTGTCTTACTAGTGACAGGATCATAGGTGTGTACCCTCATGCCTGGCTCGACCTCATTTCACACATCATCTCTCCTCTGCGCGGTACATCTTTTAAAGATGATACTGTCTTTGGATTTGGGGGTCCACTGAGAGTTTCCAGGGTAGTCGTGTATCAAGAGATTTAATTATTTTTGCAAAGACCCTCCCCCTTCCTTTTTGACTCAGGCTATCCAAGGCTGGCTCATCAGGTAGTCAAAAATGACCTTGAACTCCTTGGGATAGAGGCTTGCACATCTGGTATTGGGGTCAGACTCTGGGCTTTGTGCATGCAGAGACATAGTCTTCCAAGCTCAGGTCTTCAGATCCACCCCCAGCCCATCAAGGAGCCTTCAGGGGTTCCAGCATGAGGGCATGAACCCATGTTCTTGGCTGCACCCAGCCTCCCGCAGTTGGTGACGTGTTTCTTGTGTCTCTTCCCCAGGTGCGTCGCTGGCTGCTGCTTCATCCCATTCTGTGTAGATGCCCTGCAGGACGTGGACCACTACTGCCCCAACTGCAAAGCGCTCCTGGGCACCTACAAACGCCTGTAGGACTTGGCCGGCCAGCCTGGGGAGATTGTAGACATGTGCTGCCAGAAGTCACCTGACCCTTGCTCAGCACACCCAGAAGAGGCTCCTTCCTTGATCTCATCTTTTTATGGACTCCATCTTCGTGTCTTTTAGGGGGTGGGAAAGGTGGGAAAAGTAACAAACCTCCAAACCCAGAAATTGCTGCTTGGAGTGGCGCCTGCACATGCAAAGCCGTGGACCTTGAGTGTTGTCTCAAGGGTTTTCCGCCTGCCCAGACTACCCCACTAACTGTGATTGTTACTGCATTTGCATCTCCTCCACTGATTGCCATCGGCTGCCTCCTCTTCCTCGGTGGGCCTTTCTGATGGTGGTCTCAAACCCAGAAGCCACAGTTTGCCTTATTTTTCACTGTTCGGCTTGATCCGTTCCGTCTCTCCCCATCCCTAATGACAGAGACCTTGCCTTAAAGACTCTGTGGTTCTGTAATTGCAGACTTTTGCACTCAGAATCACTTTAATTTCATAGGGTGTTTTCCTTTTCCAAGTGCACAGAAGGGCTGCCGACACCCCCGTATGTGCCGGTGACACATACGGATAAGGTCACAAGTACAAAATAAAAGGCTCACAGCCCCTCCTGTCTCAGCCCCACTCCTGTGAACGGCTTCTTCCTCACACAGTTTCTGTGACTCCTTTGGTTCTTAAACACACATGGAAGTTAACTTGGCAGGGAGACATTTCTAGAATAATTTTTGTAATCATAATACAGCCTTCATTTTTCCATTTGCTGGTGTGTTTTTAGTTGGTTTTGTTTTAGTTTTTGATAAACAGTCTGGCTTTGTTTCCCAGGCCAGCCTTGAACTCCTAGGTTCAAGTGATACTTCAGTCTTCGCCTCTCAAATACCCAGTGTTCTAGGCATGTGCCGCTGTACCTACTGGGTTTTTTGTTCTATTTTCCTATCAAAGAAAAAGATAATTCATCTACTGCCTATGTGGATTTGGTGTGGTTTGAAAACCTTGTCTGTATGGGTCCTCTTTGGGAGAGTTAGGGAATCCTTATTTGAGCTCATGCTATAGTGCTGAGAGCTTGACTGTTGGAACACCCTCAAGAGAAACTGAAGCAGGGTTTTATTTTGTAGAGATGAGCAAGCGTGGCACTAGCGTGGTCTCCAACATCAGCAGGCCTGATGGAAGGATGCCAAAGACAAATTCAGGGCTCTTTCTAGAGTGACTACTCTGTCTTGTATAACGTTGTCACCGTCTGGCCAGCTTTCCAGGGTTCCCTGTCTCCATCCTAGACCCACACAAGAACTGCAAACCAGTGTGTGAAGACAACCCGACCCGGAACAGAAATCTGCATATTGGCTAAGATATACAGACTGAGCTGTTCATGCAGGGATCCAGAGGCACTAGCCATCATTTTTGCAGTGAATTATGGTACCATATATGACTTTGGTGTTCTCTGCTTTTAAACAAATAAAGTCTTTCGTCACTTGGTAAACGATTTAGTTCACCTGCTATAAAGAAAGGCCTTGTGTTGTGTTTCCAGGCACTGCCCAGAGAATCTTAAGTTGCCCCGTTACTAGAAACGCACGCCTTAGGCTTGCTGAATATTCAGCCACACAAGATGACCGCTGCTAACGAGTGGCACGGGAAGGTTTGGCTGCTGGGAGCCGCAGGCGCCATTGGTGGCAGCAAGCCACAGCTTTCAGGTTTTAATAAAATGCCAAGAAGAAAGCTGTCCTCATTCATTCTCTGAACAAAACCCTCCTTGTTCTTTGCCTGGGGTGGCTATGGGATGCTGGGAGAGGGTGCCAAGCCAGGAGTGAGTGCCACCCCTTCCTTTCTCCTACCTGTGGTGACAGCTTCGTGTTGGAAGGTGTGGGGGAAATCAAGTCATTTAGTTGTGGCTTATATTGCCATTGAAACCCCTATTTGTGTTCTTGTGAAATCGCTGCTCGTGGGATCTCAACTGTGTGGTTTTTCTTTTATTTGGTCAAGTTCAAGGCTGCACAGTTAGAAGTTTGGCTGTCACTGTGATGTGTAACTGATCTCAAGCTGGTATTAATTACACATGCAGAGTCTTCCAGACAATGGCTCTGTGTCAAGGACTGCAAGATACATATTATATGGAGTTTAATGCCAGATGGCCACATACTTTTGTGAATTTAGACTCTTCTGCCACTGCTTCTTGGGGGCTAGACATGTAGGCGAGGCTAGTTAGCCCCTGAGCTCCAGGGATTCACCTAGGCGGCCCCTGCTCCTGGCACACAGTCTCCATACATCCTAGGCTTTCTCCTACCACGGCTCAGAACAGGATGGAAGCCCTCTGTGGGGATTCCAGACAGACTCTCCAAGAAGAAAGGGACTTTGAACTTGGCTGTCCTTGGTACTCATTGCCTTGGCTGAATATATGGAGAGGTGGGTGCTTCCAGGTGTGCCTGCTGGTAGAGAAGAGAGAACAGACAAAAACCTGGTCGCAGCCTGGAGCGTCGCAGGAAGCTGTGTAACCAGCCCTCAGACATTTTCTGCTCTCGGGCCATGGCTTTGACTTGCAGTGTTGGGTGGGTGTAAAAGCTTCTTTCGGGGCCCACCTGATCTCTGCCGTTTCCTTTCTTGTTCTTTCCTGTCCATCCCTTCCTTATTACTAGGATTTGAACGCAGGGCCTCCCCTACGCTAGTGAAGTGCTTTGCACAGGACTAGGCCAAACGACTGCCTTCCTAGGGAGTTTAGATGATCCCAGCTGGGCTTGCTGGCTGTGCACCTCCCCCCCGCCCCCCACCATGTAGTTAGGGGGTCTGGAGACAAGGAAGACTGGGGAGGAGTCATCAGTGTGGCTACAGGGAAAACCTCACCCCTGCATTGCAACTTCATGGGGAAGGAACTCCCACACCCCTGTAAGAAACCCCTCACTTATGCTCTGTAAGGAGTTTCCGTAAACTCATTCATTCCCTGCTTGAGCTTGGGCAGACTCCTGCCTTGATTTGACAGTCTTGACATTGGGAGGAGAGGTAGACCTTACTATGTCCTCACTGGAAGGGATTTTAGTAACATAGTGACATCTCAAGCTCTTGGTCTGGCCACTTACTGGTCTTTCTGTTTTGTTTCTGAACCAGGTCATAGCACACAGCAGCGCCGCCCCCCCCCCCCCCCCCCCCCGCTGCCCAGCCCTAGGATGAGAGGCAGCGTGGGCACTCCTAGCTTCTCTGAAAGATTCCCAAATGCAGAAGAGAGCACATGGCAAAACCAAACCTCGGGGGTGGGGGAACTCGAGAATGCCTTCCTAAGCTGTAATTTGCATTTTGTGTTCCTGTCTGAAATTAAAGCAGGAGGAAGAATGCTTATTCCATGCCAAATGGGAGGTGGTGGCCAGGGATTGGCCTCCTTTCCATAGGCCTCAGTCTAAGGCAGCCATGAACGTGTGTGTCTTCCTAGGTGTGTGGATGGGGTGGGTGTCTGTTACATAAGCTTTTCTAAAATGGACAGTGCATCCCTGTGCTCTGGGAGCTTGGGGGGTGGTGTGTGTGTGTGTGGCAGACAGGTGTCTCTGATGACAGTGACATGGCCAGCTTACCAGCTGCCAGCCTAGGATCAGCTGTTTGTGGCCACTGGAGCATAATGACAGGGTGCGTCCTGTGTCATTGAGGGCCTTTCTGTGTGTTAGCGTTCTCTGCTCTGCTGCTTTTCGAACTTCATGTTCTCTTGCAGTACAGACTTCCACCTAAGACTGTTGTGTTTTTGTGTGTGTAGAGGAAGGGGCGGGGCTGCTTGCTGATAGGATGCCTTGCTGACATGGGGACTAAAGGATGCTCACACATAGCCTGGAACCCCACCCATGGCCTTTCCCAGAGTGGGAAAGTTGCTGGGCCAGGTGAGTGCTCCTGGCCTCAAGTGTACATGGAGAGTGGGGGGACACTCACACCCCTCTCGTGACACAGCCACTGGACTGGCTACCACAGAAATGCTTTCATTGTACTGTTTTTGTAATTAGAAGGGGAAATGCCTAAATATGACGATAACAAGCCTTCCTCTTTTTATAGCCAACGAGTGAGCTATCTCTCTAGCCCAGTTATGATGGTCGTATACTGGCTTGGGCTTGATTGCTATACATACAGCAGACAGTCCAGACAACCTTCTGAAGAATTAGGTCAGTTTTGGTCAGTTGCACCCTTCCTTGTTTTTCTTTTCCTTTATTATCTTTTTATTTACTGTTTTTATTTTTAAATTTTTTTTCCCTTTCCTTACTTTCTGAGAAAGTCCTATAGCCCATGTTGGCCATGACCTCTATGCGGCTCTGTAGCCATGAATGACTTTAAACTTCTTCCTGCCCCACCTCTCTAGGCCTGTGCTACAAGCAAACACCCCTTTGCCAGGTTTGTGGATGCTGGAGATGCAACCAGAGCCTCAAACATGCTAGGCAAGCACTCCATTGATGCCCAGCCCTTCATGGCTGACTTCATGGCTGGGATAGTGGTTACAAGGCATGGATCATTCTGGAAACCCTGACTGGGTATGTACTGTGTTCCAGAACCCAGCAGTGAACTTGAGAGAAGTCTTTTGTGCCATCAAAACAATGCCCTGGGCCTCAGAGAAGGCTCAGAGCAGCTGAACCAGACAGCCTCAGTTTAGTCTCCTAGACTCACACACACGATGGCACAAACTCACAAATAAAATAAAAAAATGTAACAAAAAGGTATTAAAAAATGCTGCCATCACTTTTACCTCACTTCTTTATGATGAGAATCTTGTTTTATAAATGCATACTGATGCTTTCAATCCTGCCAGGACCAGGAACTCAGCTTCCAGAAAGAAAGGCAGCCTTCAATGGCACTTACAAGTAAAATAAGGGGCTTGAAGTAGCTGTGCATGCTGGGTAGCATGTCGGAGCTGGTCACAGCAGAGGGATCACAGGCTCTAAAATTCACTCAGAGCTGCTTAGAATCCAGTCAGCACTAGCTGCATCATTCTGTGACCAGTGAGCTCTAACAGGTTTAGTGGCCTTCTTGGCCTCCACCCAATAGTCTCACACTAGCTGTGGTTTAAATATATATATGTATCTTCGGACATTGTTCAGTGCTAGGGACCAAATCACTCCAGAGTCCCCAGCAAAATGTGGGGCCCATAGCCAACCATCCCCAGGTTGAGGCCTGGGTATCCCTGGCTGTACTGAGCTTGTGGTTAAACACGTGGTGAGTCCTCAAAAAAGGGAAAGTGTGCCAACACCCCGTGGTGTGGGTGAGCCCCAAAAGTCTGGAGCAAAGGAGCTGGATGTGAGTGGCCGTATATCTAAGCAACCTGAAGTGCACAGAACAGATCTGCGGATGTAGCTCAGTTGGTGGCATGCACAAAGCCCTGGGTTCCATTCCCAGTACACCCGTAAGCCAGGCACTCAGGAGCTGGAGGAAGGAAGAGCATGTAAGTGCAAAGCCACCCTTGGCTTTATAGAAAATATGAGGTCATCCTGGACTACATGGGACCCTGTCAAAAGGAATGGAAGGAAGGAGCACACACAGGACAGGCAAGGCCAAAGGCCAGCGCTGGGGAAGAACTCTCTCTGGATATAGGGTGCCCCTGGGCTGTCTCTATTGCAGTGAGGTGAGGCAGGGTGATCACTACACCCTGAGGCGAGGGCTCAATCAGCAGTGCTCGCATGGCAAGTTCTGTAATTTGCTGAAACAGTTAACACAATGGTTTGGAGTAAAGTGTGAATGCAGCAGAAATAAAATAGGTATTTAAGTAAAATGACAACCATTGACAAGTCTAAAGAGACTTCAGCCTATACCCAAATAACATTTTTAAGGAGACCGTGGGGAAAGGCTCAGTCAGGATCCCAACACCCATTTTTGTTTTTTGTATGTCTGTTTGTTTGTTTTTAAAGCCATCCTGGCAGTGTATATTTATAATCCCAGGATTGACTAGACAGAAACAGGCGGATCCCAGGGAGAGCTGGTCTGCCACCTCCTACACACACACCCCCACCCCCATCCCCACCCCCACCCCCACCCCCACCCCCTCTGTGCTACGCATAATAGAGAGGAAGCCAGGTGTGGCAGCACACACCTGTGGTCCCAGCGCTCAGGAGGCAGAGGCAGGAGTCTGTCTGTGAGTTTGAGGACAGCCTGGTCTATAATGAATACCAGGACAGTGAAAGCTCCATTTTGAAATTCTGTCTCAAAAAAAGAAAAAGATAAAGGAAGGGAGGGAGAGAGGAAGGAAGGGAGAAAAGGACTGCCACCAGCTGCCTACTAGAGCTTTGAAGTGAGAATTCTTTTGGTGGGGTGGGGGTTCATCTTTACAGAGAATGAATTCACACCCCACATAATTCATCTGAAGTGCGTGATGCATTTTGGTTTTTTCGTCACAGGGTCTCATGTAGCTCAGGTTGCCCCCAAATTACTGATTCTTCACTCTGCCTCCTAAGTGCTGGGATGACAGTGTGAGCCACCAAGCCTCAGTGCAGTGCCTGATTATGAGTACATTCACAGTGTCTCTTTAACATT